CCGTCTCTAGCCCCAAAACACAAGCTGTTGGTGGCCTTGAGTATGACACCAGCACAGGTCCATCACATGTGGTACCGAGGGGCGCATCCTCTGCCCTTACCAAAACCAGAGGGCTTCCCACCGGGGTCTCGGCACAGCCCCCCGTGACGTGGGATCCGATTGCTGGTGTTTAGGTGCTCTGAGCGTGCCGTGCCGCAGGTCCCATGGGGCTGAGAGCCGAACCTGGCGTTACCGGCGCGCTGGGGCAGGAGGCTGGGGCCGTGCTGCCAGCTGTAATCACTGCTCTAGGCCGTCGTGCAGCGTGAGGCTCTTATTTGCTTTGTTTATTCAGTCTCTCGTCACCCTGTAGGCATTTATTTCTTGCCCCAGAGTCACGATTACTGCTTTAATTATTAGCATTTCCCTTGCCAGCGGTTCCATAGCTTTCATTCCCTGAGTCAGCAGGGCCTGCTGCAATTGAAAGCCTTGAGTGCCTTACCCTACCGAGACACAACTGTAACTCGATGAGCCATTTGTAATGGCAAACCCATTTTTAAACTCCTAAACCTGAACAGCCTCACTTCAGTAAGTGCTGCTACCAGGAGTCCTTGCAAATAATGACTTCTCCTGTCAAAGACTTGGATAATTTGATAGGACAATGAGGAATAGTTCAAGGTCTCAACTTTGAAATACCTCAAAATTATTATAATTGGACGTGTTGCAAGAGGGAGGAACCTCCATATTTTAAGTGCCTTTTCAAAACCAAACTTCTTGTTATTCTCAGAAATAAGCAAGAAAATCCCGTGTTTTTTAGGACCTGTGCAAAAGAAGCAGCAATAGGGCTCACTGTATTGGTTCTGCAGGAGGGATTTATATCCAAACGCTGGCCTGGGTTTTGAAGTTCTTGCTCAATTTGCACTTGGTCAAAACTCTGAGCTACCTCTAGGTATACGGTTGAGCAGCTGGTAGATGAACGATAAAAATAAACTAGAGAGTGATGGTTTTTTGTGAGGACAGGATTAAAACAGTAGTCTCCCCATGGGGAAAAGCTGCCACAGTAGCACTCAGTAGTAGCTTGGTGCTTTCTCTTTAAATGCCTCATGAGATTTTAGCTTTGGAATTAAATTTCCTTCTCAATATGCCACAGTCTTTTGACTTCTGGACTGGTTTGTGCAATCACTCTTCTGGTTTTAATGGTCTTTGTTTGGTGGGACATCATACTGAGTAGCTACTTAAATGTCCCAAGCTATCAGAGAAAAATAAATCTAAACAGATGCATTAAATGTGAGAGCTTGAAGATGTTCAAGGGAAAACCTTCAGAATCCACCAAGAGACAAATCTTCTAATAAGCTGGTACTTCCTATTAGAGGAAGTTTTGAGTAGCACCCACAATGCTTCTGATTACAACACGACAAATTTCACCTAATGAAGTTCCCAATTGCTCATGACTTTTCAGGCAGGTGGACCTATTTCTAAACTCATCCATTTGCATTAGGTGCTTTTCCAGTTTCCATAGTAACCGGGCAATTCATCATCTTTAACATATCTAGCCTTACAGTGTCTTACAGAGCAAAATACTATGTCCGTTTTATAAATGTGCAGCCAGAGGTGTAGGGAACTAAGTGATTTGCCCAGGGTTACAGGGTTCATCTGCAGCTGAATAGGGAAAGAACATTGCTTTCCTGAGTTCCAAGAAAATGCCACGGCTGCCAGGCTGTCCTTTCCCAGGGAGGCATTTGCTCTATCAGATCCGCACCAGCTGAAGGTTGTTTCCCAAGTGTTCCTTTTCTCAGACTTGGAGAAAGAGACTTTCAGAAATGAAGAGGTTGGAGTTTGAGTGGTACAGAACGGGGTGAGTAATGAAACAAGAAATCAAAACTTGCAAGTAATTTATTCAGCATAAATGCCAGCCGCATTCTTTGGACAAATAACTCGCAATGAATAATTCAACCAGCGTCATCACTACGGGGCATAGGAACAGGATTGTTTTTGAATCGTTTGGCCTTTTTCTTCATGTAAATCCAACCTAAAAGTCCAGATTCAGCCCTTGGCGTGTTCCAAGTCTGGATCTGGATTTTGCTTGCGGTTTGGCCAGAGAAGGGTCAGGGTCAGACCTGGGCCTGTGCTGAGCACACTCTTTTATCTCAGAAGTCCAAAGAAACTCCAGGAATTTGGTATCTTACAGGATAAAATTCAAAGCTGCCCTTCAAAAACTGCATCTGTAGCCTCAAAGCCTTGTGAAAATAGCAAAACATTGAAAGCCATTGAGGAATCCTGGATTAACACAGCGCACAGTAGGGAAAAGGCTGGTGGCCTTTGGAACAACTTCTCACATTAATTTTCTTCCAATGCTGACAGCTTTGATTTATTGCCTTAAGGCTGGTTAGAAAACACCCAGACATGAGGGAAGCCAAGAATTATGGAAGGCAAAGGAAAATATGGTAAATGTAGTGATGAATAGCCCTGGTAGATAGACAAATACTGCTCTGCACTCCTACTGCACCCAAATACTGTCTTAAAGATGGGAACAGAGGTTTTGCTTGCACTTTCACTATTTCTTCCTTCACTTCTAACGTTGAATATTCTGCTAGAAATCCCATGGGAGCTCCCATTCTGTTTATTTTATGTCAGCTGAATGCCAGCTGGAGCACCAGCCAAGGGAGGACTTTGAAAATGAAAGAAAGAAATACGCACCAGTTGAAAGTTCCTAAAACCGATTTGTTTTGAGAACCCGGTGTATCGATCCCCTGCCTCTCCTCCCCTCTGGCACTGAACAACCACCCCGCGGGCTCAGCACCCGGCCGGGTGCACACCGCTCCTGGCAGTGCTGCCTGGAATTGCTCTCATCTCACCAGCCGGGACAGGAGCCTTCTCTTCTGATTTACTGTGTCTTACTCAGATGAGATTTAGTGGTGGGATTCTGCGTCAAAGGAGGTGTTTGAAGCTGCACTGATCGCTTGAAATGGTTAAAAACCAAAGCAAACGCAACCCACAGAAACAGGAACTTGTTTTGCTTCTCCTTCAGCTGCTTCTCTCCGTAGGTATTTGTCAAGGACACAACTAGTGGTAGCATGTAAATATTGCTCTGTTAATCACCCCAGCTCAGGAAGTACCAGACACGGGCAAAACACGAGCCACGTGAGCACGGGTAACAATGCTGAAAGTCTGACTGCCCGGCTGTGCTGGTGAGAACATTGCTTTACAAATGGTTCTTCCTTAGAAATCAAATCAATGCAGTATTTCCCAGCAGAAATTTGGGAAGTTCACTGAAACAGTTTTCTGGGTTACCAGAACTGCTTGCTGAGAGCCCCCCTGTGCTCTCGCACCCCTTTGGCTTCACCAAATTCGAGTTTACAAAAGAACCACACCAAAACAGAGCAAATAACTGAGGAACAAAACATTGTGAGAGTTGTCTTTAATTTCATCAATGGCTTTAAATATTTAGAAAGCACAATGTAAACATCTGAGGAGAAATCCGTGTGCTTGCTCTTCGTGCTCAGAATTGTTGGGATTTATAAACAGAAAGGCTGCTCTCAGGGTGTGGAGCCGATGTTTCAGACTTTCCACCAAAGTTATATATGCTCATGTCATTACAGCTCTTCCCTCAGCCCAAATTGCTGGCACGGCGTCCTGAAATGTTTCTCATTAGTAAACTTTACATAACCTCCAAAACTGCAACAACTGTAGAATAAAATGTACCAGGATGCCAGCTGGAGCTGGCACTTGGCGCGGGGCTCTCGGGGCTGTTTGCTTAGCTGGATTTGAAGGATGTTCCAGACCAGCTAGCAGGGCATGTGACTGAGTTTTGACCTGAACCGCTTGCCCAGATCCAGAGATCCTGCATACTTCATGGGAATGCTTTCCACTTGTCGCTTTCATACCCCAGACGCAGCCTTTAACAATTTGTGCGCAGACCCAGGCCCACCAGCCATCGGAATATAGTCAGAGGTAACGGCACGTGGCTCCAAAAAGTAACAATGAGATTCCAGGGCAGCTCAGTGTGTGTTTAATGCTGAGTTAACAGTTTTCTGAGGGTAAGAGGGCCCTGCTTTCCTTTTTTTTTTTTTTTTTTCCTGACCCAGAAACCCCAACATCTCTGATTTCTTTTTCAAAGGCACTTACCTGAGCAGACACGGAGCTTTACGTGGACAGGGATCAGGATGCAAAGACGTGCCTGTGGTCAGGAGCTGGGAGACCTGGAAATAGACTGTGCATCTCTGTCGGCTAACGTTCCCATGCCTTAATCCCAAAATTTCCCTTCCTCCTATTAGTACTGTAGGGCAACCTGGAGGATATGGAGTTATTTCGGGGAGCAGAGCTGCGAGGCCTCAGCTCCGCCACTTCCCTGGGCAAGGTTGATTTGTGGCTGGGTGACTGGAGCTCTGCTTGGTGAAATCGTTTTACCTGATTTTGTTTCCTGGACTTCTCTTCATTTTCAAATAATCAAGCCTATTTATTTTAAATATACAAATTTTCAACCAAGGCTTTAATGTATGCATAATTTATATCACTTCCTTGGTATGGAATTAATTTTCTTTTCTCCAACATGGAAAATAACACGCGAACTCTTGAGTAGTTCTCCGATGCTGAATTCCAAATTGTCTGAATTAAATTTGAATCCCGGTGGGTTCTGCGCCTTCCCGGTTGTTCATCACTTGCAGAGTTTATTACATTTTAGATGATACTATTAAATCCAGCCACCCCTAGAGGTACCGGCTAGACTTTGTGAGTCTAAGGAGTAGGAGACCATGAATGAGTCCTCAGAGCCGTTCCAATTTAGCAGTGCAGTAATTTAAGTTTCCTTTAAAAGGACAGTGAGTTGTAATTTTTTATATATTTTATAATTTGTTAGCAATTTCCATTTCTCTCCCTGCAATACCTTTTAAGAATTAGAAAATTAATGCGTTTTCCCCCAGTTTAGATCTTTTTTTTATATATTTGCTGAGCATTGATTTTACTCCCTTCCTCAGTGCTTTTGTTCACCTCCAAAATTAACGCATCTTTTTGGCTTTCCTTTCCAGGGGGTCCTGCCTCCTTCCTGGTGAGCTGGGAAGCACTTTGCCCAGAGGGGCTGTGGCTGCCCCATCCCTGAGGTGTCAAGGCCAGGCTGGACGAGGCCCTGGCCAACCTGACCTGGTGGGTGGCATCCCTGCCCATGGAAGGGGTTTGGAACTGGGTGGTCTGTAAGGTCCCTTCCAACCTGCCCCATTCAGTGCCATGGTTTTGTGATATGAACTGGAACCAGCAGCCAGCATCGTGCTCCTTGGGCCAAGGTGCCCTCATGGGATGGGCTAAGGGAAGGCTGAGCTACCCTAACCCTGACGGGCAACTGTGTGACCTCCTGAAAACTTGTGATGTGATGCTTGGAAATGTGGTTTAGTGGAGGACTTGGCATTGCTAGGTTAATGGTTGGCCTTGGTGATCTTAGAGGGCTTTTCCAACCTAAATGGTTCTTTGTTTTTGTCAGGGCTGGACTGGGCTCGGCAGCAGCTCTCTGAACACCGAAACCAGCCGCATGCACAGGGTTAACAGCGGGGTTCGAGCGTGGAAAGCCATGCTGTGAGTCAGGGGGCTGCAAGGAAAATCGAAGAGGAGGATTTGGGCCATGTGGTGCCCATAAAAGTGAATGCGAAACGTATCAGAAGTATATGAAATCTGTAGATAGTTGTTTTGTGTTTCAAAAGTGTTGAATATAGGGGGGAAAAAAAAAGCTCAACGGGAGTTTAAATAAACACAGGCAAGTGAGTCAGCAAGAAGATATAAAATCATCAGGAAAGGCTGAGTTTGTTTTAATATGGGGATTACTGTAAACACTAGGAGTGCATGGTAACAATTTGTAGGCCATATGTTTTGAAATATCATAACTGGTGTCAATAAACACATTAAAATTCAACTTCAAAGAGTATTGTGGATGTTTGGAGTGTCACGAAGACATTGCAAAATGGGGATTTTAGATGGAAACAAGTATGGGAGCAATCAAACACAGCTCCTATGTGAAGAAAGGGATCTTGTCAAGTTGTTAGAGCTAAGCATCTGTGATGGTGATTACTGCTGCTTGCTGGCTAGGAGCTGTGCTCAGCCCCTGATTTCTTTCACACCGTCTCCCTGGCCTTCCACCCTGACCTGCCTGTTTGTCTCGCCCACCTGCTGCAGCTCGGTGCTGGGGCTGAGCTCTTCTGCGCAGGGATTGCCGTTCGCTGCTCCTTCCTACAGTTCATAGCCCGCCTGATTTCCTCGTATAAAAAGCAAATTCATTTTGTGTCTGTACAGATTGGCTTGTGGCACAGATGAGGTGCTGTCCTCCCGTGCTGACAGCCTGCACCGTAGGGCATTTAGCGTCACCGCAGCGTTGGCTGCATTTGATTCTTCCGCGTGCTGTGAGCCACCGGTCATGGGGGTTAGGGCATGGAGAAGGGCGAGCAGCCCCTCATGTGGTGGTACCCTGAACAGAGGGTTTATGTTGCTTCCTGAATCCCTCCTCATTCAGACCTCTGCTGGGTTGAAATACCCTCTTTTCCTCACTTTTTCCTCTTGTAGCACTTCTGATGCAGTGGGATTCCCCTGCAAACGCTCTCCTATTTGTGCACAAATCGTTTGTTTACTCCATGGAGATGGGACCAGATCTGTGATCTTTGAGCTGTGAAAGCACAGACTTCTGACACTGAGGCTTTACTAGCGTGATGAATAAAGCCTTTGGCTTGTTTCTGGGATATCCCACGACATGCTAAATTACTAGTGTACATACAAAGGCAGAATATTTGTTTACAGGGCTGCCTGGAGACTCATGTCCACCATATGCCTTGTTCTTTCTTATTTTCACATTTTTAACGTGTTTCATTTCACAACGAGAGCCCACCCTTCCTCTCTTCTTCCTTTTTCCTCCTTTTATTGCTGACTGTGACATCATATGGTGTGAAATGTATGTCTCTTTTTTTGGTATCCCTTTCCAGATTTTTATCCCTGCTGCTTTAGGCGTTACACATGGCCAGGCCCTTGGGGTTTGCATGGGCATGCAGACTGAGAACTGGCTGATCCTTTTCCCTCCAGTTTCCAAGTGTTTTCCTGGTTCAGAGTCCACCTGAGCTGTATGTTTGGGGCAGAGGACTGCTATGAAGAAGGATCAAGCCTCAGCTTCCCAGTGGAAATCCCTTCCATGCAGGCATCACAGTACAGCACAACATCATGTTTAAACCAGTAAGTGAAAGTGTGTGCTCAGCACCAATGTATAAAATAAGCAAGAATGGCCATAAACATCATGTTTAGCTAGCTGTGGATTTTTACAACCCAGTGACTATGGGACAGTCCTGGGCCTGCCTGCCCAAGCTGTGCCTCCAGGGAGCACGAGAGGCTTCTGGTGCCTCGTGTTGTCCCTTCTGTGAGGGCAGCTTCCAGGGCTTCTGCTACACAAACAGCAACTTTGCTTATTTTATTACCAATCCTATAGGAACAAAGTGAACTCACACATACCCTTTTTAACGTGATTTATGACAGGAGCAATATGAGGGAACAGATGAGCATTCCTGCACCTAGGTTCAACTCTCCGTTTAAGAATCACAGTCAATATTCCCTTGTTTTAATACTAAACATCATGTTCAAAACTGAGTACTTCACTGTAAACTGCAGGCAGACCACGCAGGATTAAATGGGGCTTCTAGTGTGATGAATATAGCAGCCTCTTAAATGATTAGGACACCTGTTGACATTAATATAGAAGCATGCATGAAAACAAGTGTGCCACTCACTGAAATATATGTACACAAATATTAAGAGGATTAGAGAAATTGCTAAAATGGATAGAGTGGCATTTAACACGAACATGTCTGGAATCTCGCGGAATGGAAATAACATGCACAGAGCTGTTCCCTTGTTCGATGGCTTTTTTTTTTTAGTGGTTCATCTAGGGTATAAACGCAGTACAAGGAGGTCATTTGCTTACATTAAAAAATTTCTCTTTAATATATGTCTTTGTTTGGAATCTGCCTGTGATTCATAACCACCTTCCTTTAGTAGCTGGCACCTTTGCCATGCAAGCTGCAAGAAAAAGTAATTAAATTTAATAGAAGCCACCCTTGCTTTGAAGCTGCCCTGGATTTAGAGCCACAAGGAGAAGCAATTAAACTGTGGCAGCCAAGGATTCAAACTGAAGTTATATAGTGACTTTTTTTTTTTTTTTTAAAGGAAATTTTCTCTGTAAACGGATTTGGATTGTCAAACCTGATTGGATTCAAAAGCATAGAAATTTCCTTCTGTGGGAAACTTTCTACTGAAGCAAAAGGAAAAAAATAATTAGATGTGAAATGGGGGTCAGTTGTGAAGATCTAGGATATTTTTAATCCTTTTGAACAAACTTCCAAAAACGAGTTCAGCAAAGTGCTGAGGGGAAAAGGGAAGCATGGAAGGAGGACAGCTGCATGTCTGTTTATTTGCAGGCAGGCCAGCTTGTCAGCAGCCTAGGGTACAGATTCATTAGGGGAAGGGATTTATTTGCACTAAACAGTATTAGAAGCATTGTTCAAAGCTGGCAGGATTTTTTAAACCATCAAGAGGCAGAAATTATATTTTAATTTCTGTGCTTTTACCAAAAAGTTGTCTTTGCATTAAGGAACAAGCATAGGGGAAAAAAATCAAAACAAGACTCGCAGATGCCATACCAAATACAATTCTTCCTACGTAAAAGTATTTTTTAGATGTTTCCTATAAAATATCAGAAAGGATTCAGTTGAAAAAGGTTTTCCTCCAATGCAGATGTTATTCAAAAAAAGCAAACTGGCAATTCAGTTAGCACTTACAGGCAGGCAAATCTGTCCTAATCTCCACCAGCTCTTTATATGTAAGTCTTAGCTAAGCCAAGGCACGTGTGAAAATCTTAATATTTTCATTAATGTATTTTGCCAAACCTGCTTTTCTGAGAAATAGGTGCTCTTGGGCTCAGTGTAAGGATACAGCTGATGTTTTGTGACCTATGGATCTGACTTGGTGAATGAGAGTCCTCTGGCTGGAGTCGAGGTAACGCTAAATTTCCAGGGCAGTGCCTGGAATGTTGTAACTTGCTGGGAAAATATATTATTGTATCACCGGCCATTATGAGGTAGCTGGGGGCAGACATGCGAGCTGCATCCCCCCAGAGAACACAGCCCCTGCGATGGTGACCAGCCTGTAAAAGAGGAACGGGAAAACACGGCCAGAGAGCTGCTCTGGGGCACCGTCAGCTCTGTGAACAATGTTTGACCCCAGCGTTTTGGACGTCCCAGCAGTGATCTTTGACAACGGGTCTGGGTTATGCAAGGCAGGTGTCGCAGGTGACAGTGGCCCAAGGTCTGTTATCACGGCAGTTGTTGGTCGCTCAAAAGCCAAATCTACAATGCTTGGAGCTGGGATGAAAGAATACTACGTTGGAGAAGAAGCTCAGTCCAAAAGAGGGATCCTGTCTTTGAATTACCCGATTGACCATGGCATCGTTACCTCCTGGGATGACATGGAGAGGATCTGGAGACACGTCTACGAGCATGAGCTGAGACTCAAAGCCGCTGAAAGGCCGGTGCTGTTGACAGAAGCCCCCCTAAATCCTCTGCAGAACCGGGAGAAAATGACAGAGATCATGTTTGAAGGCTTCATGGTGCCCGCTATGTACGTGGCAGTCCAGGCAGCTCTGGCACTCTACGCCTCAGCCCGCACCACCGGGATCGTCATGGACAGCGGGGACGGTGTCACCCACACGGTCCCCATTTACGAGGGGTACTGCCTGCCCCATGCTGTCTCCAGGCTGGATGTCGCTGGCAGAGATATCACCGAGTATTTCATGAGGCTTCTTCTGGAGGGCGGGCACTCTTTTGTTAGCACAGCTGAAAGGGAAATCGTGAGAGATATCAAAGAGAAGCTGTGCTACGTAGCTTTGGACCCCATCCAAGAAATGAAAGCAAAGCCCGAAGAAGTCATGAAAGAGTACAGGTTACCCGACAGCAACGTCATTCAGATCGGCAGCCAGCTCTTCCGTGCTCCAGAGGTGCTCTTTGTGCCTGCAAACATCGGCATTGAAGCACCTGGCGTGCACAAAATGATCTTCAACAGCGTCATGAAGTGCGACATCGACGTGCGCAGGAACCTCTACGCCAACGTCCTGCTCTCGGGAGGCTCCACGCTCTTTCCTGGACTGGAGGAGCGGATCCTGAGGGAGATGCACCTCCAAGTGCCCACGGGCATGTTCGTGAGGATCGTTGCCCCCCCCGAGAGAAAATACAGCGTGTGGATCGGGGCCTCCGTCCTCACCTGCCTGACGTCTTTCAAGCAAATGTGGGTCACCGTGAGTGACTACAAGGACTTCGGGGCAGCCGTTATCCATCGGAAGTGCTTCTGAGGAGACCGTCAGACCGAGCGAACGCCTTGCTGCAACAAAGCACGAGCAAGAAACGCTGGCGAGGGCTGACTGAACCAAAAGGTGCCACAGCAGTTCATGTCTTTACTGGCTGACAAAACCTTTATGGAGATAAAGCATTAAAGAATTGGTAACCAGGGCATCGAGCCTTCTGAGCATTCATTGCCTCCAAGGGGAGCTCTGTGTGTTCCCACCTCCCTCGAGCCCCAGCCCGGAGCCTCATTTATCTTCTCGTGCTCTTCCAGCCCCTGCCTCATGCCTGAGAGCTCGGGCTGTGACACCACGGCCATGCTGTTCTTTGCCCTGGCCTCAGGGGGTAGCCTAGAGTGATCGGGGCCACTGCCACTCTTTGCACAGCACTCCTACCCCCAGCCACTCCTGTTTATGCCATCAGATTAGTAATGGAATTAATGTGTACTAATGGGGGGAGTGGGAGAAGTGCTGTGAGGCTGGTTCTGAACTTCAGGTTAAAAATTCCAGCAGTTTTCCAGCAGCAGCTTCTACACAAATTTAGTCTGGATTCTGTGCTTTTTAAAACTTTGTTTCCTTTTCCTCTTCCTTTTCCTTTTCTTTTCCTTTTCCTTTCCCACAGACTGCAGGGATGCAGTAACTAACCGACTCACGGCCTCTCTCGCAGCCGTACGGGAGTAGCTCTCCTCCTCTGCTGGGGATTCTTCCCTCTAAGGCCTTTGAGATTTCTGGGGTTTGTATTCTAAAACTAGATCGCGTGTTATTTTCGACCTCATTAAAAATGTTTCCTTTAGAAACCCAGCAAAACCCCAAACAGAATCCAAATATAAATCAATGCAAATGCAATTACTGTAACCGACCCTCCTCTGAGCCTGAGGGCCTGAACAAATTCATTGATTCCCCGCTGTAATTTATCTGGGAAGCAAGAACACCCAGCCTCCCTTCCGAGCACCGGCCCTGCATCGAATTGCTCGGCGGAGGAGCAGGGCTGGGGCTGCCCCATGGGCATTGTGAGCTGTGCCCATTTGTGACGCGGGGTCTGGAGTGTTTCGTGGTGCTGCCAGAAGATCGCTGCCCCCCAGCAGCACCCGTCCTGCACGCGATGTCGCACGCGGTGGTGGCGGGGACCCCCGCCGTGATCTTTGACAACGGCTCTGGGCAGTGCAAGGCTGGGCTGTCGGGGGAGCTGGCACCCCGCTCGGTGATCTCCACTGTTGTGGGGTACCCCAAGTTCAGGCTTGTCATGTTTGGGGCCGGTCACAAGGAGTGGTACGTCGGAGAAGAAGCCCAGTCCAAACGGGGCATTTTGTCTTTGAATTACCCGATGGACAACGGGCTGGTTACATCCTGGGACAACATGGAGAAGATCTGGAGATACCTGTACGAGCAGGAACTCAGGCTGAAACCTAGTGAGAGGCCAGCGCTGCTGACCGAGACCCCTCTCAATCCCTTGTCCCACCGGGAAAAAATGGCCGAGCTGATGTTCGAAAGCTTCCACGTGCCGGCCCTCTTCGTCACGCTGCAGGCGCTCGCGGTCCTGTACGCCGGGGCCCGCACGACCGGGCTGGTGCTGGACAGCGGGGACGGCGTCACCGTCACGGTCCCTGTCTACAAAGGCAAGTACCTGCTGCAGGGCATAACCAGGGTGGATTTTGCCGGCAGAGATGTAACCAAGTACCTCGCCAGGCTCCTCCTGGAGACCGGGCACTCCTTCATGAGCGCGACAGAGAGAGAGATTGTCAGGGATATAAAGGAGAAGCTGTGCTACGTTGCTCTAGATCCTAGACAAAAAATGCAGGACAAGCCTGAAAATCTCTCACGTGAGTACATTCTCCCTGACGGAAGGTCTGTCACGGTGGGAGACCAGCTCTTCCGAGCTCCTGAAGCACTTTTTGCACCCAGAGAGGTAGAAGCCCAAGGGCCGGGGGTTGTGGGGATGGTCCTGCGGAGCCTCGCCAGATGTAGCAGCCGTATCCAGCTGGACATCCTAAGGAACGTGGTGCTCTCGGGCGGATCGACTCTGTTCCAGGGCTTCAAGGAGAGGCTTCTGAAGGATCTGCAGGCGGCCATCCCCAGCATAGCCCCCGTCAAGATCTTCTCCCCAGAAAATCGGATGTACTCGGTGTGGACCGGCGCGTCGCTGCTCGCCAGCCTGACAGCGTTTAGGAATATGTGGATTACCAGGGAGGACTATTACGAAGTCGGGCCAACACTACTCCAGAGAAAATGCTTTTGAAAAGTAAAAGTATGACCATACAGGAATTTTTTTAAGTGCCAATCTGAACAGCTGGAGAGCAGTTAATAAATCAGTACAAAAATAATTGATTTGTAGTAAGTGATTTTATAGCTTAGTAAAGAAAGATCCCTTGTGCATTGGGCTGAAGAAAGAGTCCTTGTTCTGAGCATTTTTGCTATCCAAGATGTTGGTTTTAATTCTAGAAATGTGTTGATCCCTGCTAGAACTGCAAACAGTTTGTCAGACTTTTAAACACTTGAGAACAAGCCACCTCCAGCCCATGCCCGGGGGGGCTGGCTCCCTGCCACACACCGTAAACTTCCAAAGAGTGGAAAGAGACCTCTGATGGAGAAATAGAGGGCTCGTGGGTATTGCTGACCCTTCACCATAGCACCAGAGATCGCTCGTAGCAGTCCTGGAGAAGCTCAGAGAGGACCGAGCTTCTAAATTTGTTTTTGCTCACCAAATGAAAATAAGTTGGTCTGGCTGCTAGAGCAGAGCTCTCAGACCGAGCACACCTCTGTGCTGCTTGTGGCCCTGCCAAGGCATTTGCTGTGTCACATCACATAAAACATCGCTTCTGTTTGCCCGTCTGTGGAATTTAGGGAATATTCCAGCTTAAGGACTGTGTGAGACTTCATTTAGGTAACATAGTGTTAAGATTGGTAATTAATCAGAGAGCACAAGGTGAAAGATATTTAGTTTGGGTTTATTCGTTGAAGATTTCTGAACAAACTTTGTGACATCAGGCATCTACGAGAAGGTGGAGGTGGTTGTCCCCAGCTGGCACTGGTGGGAAGAGCTGGATACATTAGGAGATGTTATTTCTCTACTTCCTCAGCAAGAGCTAGGGGAAGTGACAAAATAACCCTGCAGATATTTGCTTTAATGACCAAACAAATCTGCCTTGCTGAGCTTGCTGAGCATTTTTTCTCTCTTTTTTTTTTTTTTTTTGAATGCTGAGCATTCCCAAAAAATAAGCTTAACTAGAGTAAATATCATGGCTAACGGATTGGATTTCCAAAGTGAGCTGTGAAATCCATAACAATCACGTGAATTTGCAGCATCTAAATCTGCATTCAAATAACGTGAAAATGATGTATTTACAGAGATCATCACCCACTTCTGCAAATGTATGTGCTACATCGAAGCAGGCAATGCAAATCTTCTCCTAATTAAACTCAATAGCACTGTACTGTATATTGTTCAAAATTATTTCAAAACACCCTCAAGATATAGCTGAGAACTTACTGGATTTGCTCAAGATCAGCATGAAAATAGGAAAAGAGACACAGTCTGCCTTCTGAATGATTCGATTCGCTGTCTGGCTGTTTTCATTCAGCTCTGGAGAAGAATCTTCAAACTCATTGATGCCCTCTGCTGCCTTGGGACTGATTAGTCATCCCTCACCTCCTCTCCCTGCCCTTTGGAGACTCACAGCACCGCTTTGCTTTCCGTCCAGGCGTTTACAAGTGCTCTGAATGCAGGGATGTCCAACCTCCGTGTTCAGCCACTCACCAAGCCCTGGAGTACCTGGAGTGGGAAATTATGATGAGCTGAAAGATCCAGCCACGAGGGAGGTGGGCAGGGAGGGGAGGATGATTTCTGGGTGACTCCAGAGTCACAAGGGGATTTTTGTATTTGCAAAGTGGGAAGCACGGGAAAAGAGCTGGGGGCAGAGCTGGCTCAGCTCACCTTTTTAAGAGTGATCTCAGCAGCGGGTGTAACACAAGACGTGTACATCCCAGAGCACACTTATACAGGTGGGGGGAGTAGGCAGTGATAGGATGTGGAAACGTGCATGAATCTGAACAGGGGATCAGCAGGCTGTGTGGTGGTGTCCGAAGCAGCTGGCAGTGGTGGCAGTGGCAGCAGCACCGCCTGTCCCCGCAGAACAGCCCCATGCAGCGTGGTTATTGCTGTTTGGGGATGGGGGTGGCAGTGGCTGCGTTGGGTATTCCAGCAGAGAGGAGTGAAAGGCTGTCCTGGCCGTGCCAGGCATCCCCTTCCTTACACCAGCCAGGTGCCTCTTCCACAGCCGTGGCAGCAGGAGCATCCAGCAGCAGCAGCAGGACCTCGTTTTCCCCAGATATCATAGTGAAAGCATAAAGCAATGAGTCTGGAGTAAAACACACATCTCTCCTGCTCCTCTTGGGCCCTAAGGCTTCAGAAAGTTGAGATATGTATTACTCCATCAAGTTAATGCAAGTATTCAGAGGGCTTTTAGAGCTGTTATGAAATCTGAATCAGCAATCTCGTATCTTTCTTCCATTGCAGTATGTTACCTTTTAGCAGCCCACTGGAAATGTGTAAACAAACGAGGTACAACTGTAGACAGTTTAAATATTTTACAGCTCGCTGACTTCCATATGAGGAGGGATTTGCAGTAACTTAAGTGTTTAGACTCCTGCTCCAATAATCTAATGCAAATAAAAATGCAAACAACTGCGTGCTGGAAAGCAGCGGGAACCCCAGAGAACGGTGCAGCTCAAGGCTGCTGTCAGCAAGGAGAAAAGCGAGGCAGCAAGCGTGAGACCTGCACAGCCCTGTGCAGACACACGGCGTGTTGGCAGAGTGACACCTAGCAGGGTGTGTGTGTGCTCGTAGCAAGGTGTCACCCTTGCAGAGCACATTGCCTGGTGTAACCCGGGATGGATTTGCTGGCATCAAAATCGTTCGACATCCAGGGACCTGCTGCAGCTCCTCCCAGCCGGAAATCATTCAACAGACCGTGATTACAGGTAGGTAGCACCCCCAGCACTGGTTTGGCCCGGCTCTTTCCATTTGCCTCCGAGACACGACTTTGCTCAAGGACACACGGCAGATAGCAGGAGCTGGCACGTGTTCCCAGAGCCCAGGCTCTTTATCAGCCTCTTCAGTCTCTTGGTCACCTGTTGCTCCCACTGCTGTGCAGGGCACTGGAAATTCATTTCTTACCTTGTATTTCATTTTCACCTTGAAGAGGTCAGTTGTGTTAATAGTCATTTGGGACCACTTTCCCTTGGCCCTCACGCCACAGAAAATGAGCGGCAGGAATCCTTCCTCTGTCATCTGGACACGTACTAGCTGCAAATGCCTGGGAACCTTCCAGCCTCAGGAAAGTCAGACAAGTCTGCCGAATTTGGGACTGGTTGCAGGGATGGAAGAGGCTTGAGTTAACTCCTAGATTTACCATTCATTGCAGAATGAGGAGTTTAACCCTGGGAAAGTCAGGCGTCAGTTCCCCCTTGCAAACACCCTTCTTGTTCTGCCCCGTGCCTGCCCTGCAGGCTGCTGCTGGTGAGGGCCGTCTCTTGCTGGCTGCTGTGCAGCTCTGGGTTGGGTTGGGGATGAAGCGTCGTCACCTTTCTCCCAGGAAAACCCTATGTTAAGAGTGCAAGTCAGTGCAAAGATCTGGGATTTTGGGTCCCCAAAATCAGAAACACAAAACCACGTATGAAGTTTGCACTAAAATGACATAACCATCTCACCCTGCTCCTGGTAATTTTTCCCTCCCTCCCCAAGTCTCATTTAGGTTTCAGTCCAGCAGCAGCCCTTTATTTTCCTTTAAATGTCAAACAATTCATCATTTTGCGCTTTCCCCATTCCCCGTGAATCTAAAGGTTTTGTTGGTATGCAGCGGTGTCAGCCTGGGACAATGCACACTGATTACCCAAAACAACGCGGTTCTTGTCACCCTGCCCGTTTTCGGTGCGAGCTCTTGAGAAATGTACAAGAGCTCTTGCTTTCTGTCTCTCCTCCCCGTTACCATATGCACAACAAGAAGGCTGGGTTCGCATACACACTGGACAAATAGTTATTATCGTTATTATTCACATCTCCCGTCCCCTGCCCTCATCCACGCTGAGCACAGCGCTGCAAGAGGTGGGCTCACCCCTGGGCTGCTGAGCGAAGGTCTCGGGGAGGTGGGTGAAGGCCGGGCTGTGGTGAGGGGTGCCGAGCCATGAGGGGTGCTGAGCTGAGCATCTCTGCAGCAGGGGCAGGGAGGAAGGTTGGGACTCAGCCCTTTTGTTTTTCCAGGCACGGCGATGCTCAGAGAGGCTCCGTAGCCATCACACACACACACACACGTACGCATATGCACACACTGATTTTATTAAGCCATTCCATACAAGAATTTTATATACGTACTTTTTTTGGTTGTTTTTTATTTGGAAAACTTCAGAGTGCTTTTTTTCACACACAGTAAAGTTAGCTTTGCTGAGATTCATTAGTCCCCTTTCCCCCTGTGTGTAAATGGATCTCTCTCAGTTATGCAATGCAAGGGTACACAACCATGAAAAGTGCAGAGGCAGCCAAAAAAAGCATTGTTCTGAACTCGGACGTGTAAAATATTCATATTCAATAATAAAAAATAAAAAAACAGCCCTTAATAAAAAATTCACGGGGTAAAATATGCATTGTCGCTCCGTCCCCAGGGCTGCAGCAGTTTCCAGACCAACATGTTACGTGGGTTTTCACTGCCTTGTTTTACTCGATTAATTCAAAACCAATTCACTCTCAGACATCCCAGTATTAGGTGCCTAAATTGATTCTGATTTCTCTAAGGGCTGTGTCTCTATGACTACAGTTGTAGCTGGTAGAAACTGTTCAGAGCATCCGACGTGCAGCCCGCCCCAACAGGACCGTCCCTGATGCCGAAGGGGTGCCCGTGCCACGCTGGGCAGCCACACAAGCCATCTCCAAACGAGCCAGGAGCTCTTTCAGCACGCTGCTCAGCCTGCCACGGCACACCCCGCTTCTTGAAGGGGCAGATAAGCCAAATGTTAGCATGGCAAGCCGTTCTGCCAGGGGGGCGAGCACATCTTGACCAATGGTGGTGACTGCGTGCAGCACTGCACCCCTGCAGGGCTTTGCAGAGGAGAAGAAATAATTCTGGGTGCTGAAGGGAGGCAGAGGCAGGTGGAGATAAATGCCTGGCTCAGGCCCTGACCACAGTATGCAGCCGAGATGGGAATGTAATTTATGTTTTTCTGCATCCCCATCCAGTGCCGTAGCTGCAAGGCCAGCCTGCCTCAGGTCCCAGACAGCAAAAAAAAAGCAGAAGGATGGGACGGGGACTGAGACACTGAGACACTGCCCTGTCAGGACAAGGACCCCAGACCTGTGCAGGAACGTAGCAGCAACCACACTGGACCCAGCAGCTCTGCTGAGGAGCCGCGGTCCCACTGTGCCCCCCCAGACCGATGCCAGCAGAAGCTGCCACTTCCTTCGTGCTCTGGTTTCAGGGCTTCTGTCCCACGTCCCCAAGTGGCAAAACTGAAGCTAAGGCACAGATCCCCTGCTGCAATAGGTGCTCTGTGACTGTGCTGCTTCGTGCAACCGGTGGCAGCGGTGCTGCTGCGAGCCCAGCAGCAGGGGAGAATGCTGG